AACCGGCTACAGCGGGCGGCAAGGGGCAGAGGAATGAGGCGAGGCGGCTGCGGCCGCTCCGGGGAGGGAAGGACCCGGCGGCGGGCAGGGGCTGAGGCGGCCGTCTGCGGGAGCTCCCCTGACAGCGGCTCGGCGCAGAGGTGAACCCCCACCTCAGCACACTAAAGAGACAAAGATAATTAATAATCTTTGTGGCGAAGTGTTGGGGGGCGGGGGGAGAGTTTAAACACCCGCCTATCGCAAACCACTATGCAAGTCCCAAAATAGCTTATTTATAGAATAAAGCTCTCTTCTTTCCCATCAACGCCACTGTACTGCTTTAAAAATATCGCAGCTTTTTGATACAAGCCCATTTTTATCGGAGATTTCTTTTTCCTTTTCATTTACTGGGACCCCCGGTAAGGCGGCCCTTCCCGCCTGCAGTCGCACCCACAGGGATCCACTAGATCAGGAACTCGCCCGGACAGGTCACTGTCCCCGGACAGAAACTCTTCCGTCCGACCCCCCCAGCCGCCACACCGCAACTCAGGGGAACAGCGGGGCATTCCCGGGCCTGGCACTGGTGGGGAGGGAAGGAAGGGAGGCCGCCGGTACCTCCACAGGGCAGGCGACCCGGTCTCCTCAGCGAGGCTCCTGCCGCCCCCCGGCCGCCCCCGCCCCGCTGCCGGCTCGGAGCCGCCGCGGCGCCCTTAAGAGCGCCGGAACATCCGTCACGGTGACGTCACAGGCACCGCCCCAGCCCGGCGGGCCCTGGTAATGAGCCTCTGGGCCGGCCCCTCATGAATAATTCATCAGGCCGGGAGCCCGCCCCCCCGGCGCCGACGGGCCGGGTGGGTGCTACCACTTCAGCCAGAGGGAGGTGCCAGCCCTGTGAGCCGCTTGGGCAAGGAAGGGTCTCGTTGGGCTTTGACGACCCAAACGTCAAAGGGAGAAACACCTGCAATAAACAGATTTTATTTCGTTCTGCGGCAGCGGCTGAGATAGGCTTTTATCCCAACAGACGGGGCAGGGATAGCCGTGACGTCGGTTTCTCCTGCCGCCCGTGATCCCGTCAGGCGCTCACTCTGGGCGGGGGAGAGGGCGATCGCCCCGCCCCCGCCTCGCGCGCAGCTCATTTGCATTGACGCACGACCGCGCGCCACGGGCGGGGCGGGGCGGGGCGGGGCGGGGGGTGGAGCGCAAGCGCGGCGGCACGAGACGGGCCGGGTGTCAAAGCCCCGCCCAGCCCCGGGTGGCCCCGCCCCCCGAGCGGGTCGGGGTGCGCTGTGCGCCCGTCCCTGTGGGAGCGGGCTGCGGGACTGCCCCTGTGTCCCTGTCCCTGTCCCTGTGGGAGCGGGCTGCGGGACTGCCCCTGTGTCCCTGTCCCTG